GATTAAGTTTTTGTTGAGTTATTATTGTTTAAAGTTTAAAAAAAATTTATTTAGAAAAAATTTGCTTGATTTCTATTAACTCAACCCCATATGTTGTTTTTGAATATTTAGTAACCGTTTATTTTGTTTAGGATGAGCAAAAAATTTATTAGTCTTTTTGCTCTCGCAATTAGAACCTCGGCTAGCAACATTCCTTTTCCAACCACCAACTGAATAGTATAAGCCACACATAGGACTCTTTGAAGCCAAGAAATTTGTTTTAATACTTTCTTTATATTGGCACCGTTATCAGTTATACAACAGAATACCATGTCTTTTAATTTTCATTCATATATAATAGATTTAAGAGCTTCTTTTATATTATTACCTATATGAGAATATGGTAAATATTTAATTGCTAAGATAACTTCTCTTAATTCAAAACTAGGTATTATAAAATGTGCTGTAACTCCAAAAAGCCCTATCTTAGAATGAGACATCTATAAATCACATGTAAGTGATACTCAATTTGCTTTATATTTTAATATTTCGAAAACTTTCTGACTAACATAACTTCTAGATTCAAAAATCTTATTTTTAAATCTTTTATTACTAGGAATATTAAAATCCAGATTAAGATTGTTGATGAAACGTCAAGACGAAAAGGATTCAAATGCTTGTAAAGGTAGATTATCTAAAATAATCTATTCATAAAGAAGTGATTCTAGATGTTTTTGCTGTTCTTAGATTATTAGTATATGAGATTTGCTTTCAAAAGGCCTTTTAATTACTGTATTAAGTAAGAAAATATTTTTAAATATTTGATGTATAGTCACTAAATAATTAATTATATTTTCAGTTAGACCTTTTGTTGTAATTTTAGAATTATAGTCTTTTCTATTTGATAACTTGTTCGTGCATATAAAAATTCTTCCACCTTAATTAGATAATTCTTGATGCTCATTCTACAACCAAACCCAACTACTTAATCTTGGCCTACCTTTTAGTTTTTTCATTGAATTGTTTAACGAATTATCTTTAGATAAAGATCTAGATGAGGATACAGATGAAAAAGTTGATTCTTCTTGTAAAGGTGCTGATGCAGAAAATTCATCTGATGAAGACGCAGATAAGAACATAGATGAAATAGATTTTTCTGATGAAAATGCAGATAAGGACATGGAGATTTTTTTTGATAGCAACGAGTAAAGAAATTAAATTCGCAAACAAATGTATTTATGTATTTAATCAATTATCAAGAATAAATATTTATATGCTTGTCAATATTTATTTTTATAGATTATAATTAGACAATATATTAGATTAACGTAATTATTATACTAAACTTGTTAGATATAAGAAGGTCAAAAAGTCTACTATTCGAATTGATATGAGTAAGGTAAATAAATTTACTAGACTCAGATTTTTAGTAACTAGAGATATGAGCACAATGCTATAATTTATTGTAATTATCTTAAATTACAGCATTTTTTACTGTAATTAAATAGAATTATGATCAATTATGGCATTGTGTTCATATCTCTATTAGTAACCTGAAGTAATTTAATATTATCGTTATTACATATTTATTTCTTAATAGAAAGTTAAGATTCTGCTATACTCAAATTTATACAAATAGCAGAGACAGTGCCTGATCTAGAGTGAACCCTCTCTCTTGTGATCAATTACAAATTTAATTATTTATATTAGATTCAATTGTGATGGATATAATCTCTCACCAGTTTTAATATATGTGTAATATTAATGGTCTTGGTTGTTGATTCATGCAAGAAATTATTATTAATTATTTTTTTTATGCAGCTAATATTACTAATATTTTTTATTTAGTTTCAGAAACTATAGAAGTAACTGCTAATATTCAATTAAAAGTGAATACTTATTTACACAAAACTTACAAATCAATAAACTTTAAATTATACGAAATTCAAGGATTAGATATAAATAATCTACAGTCAACTCTTTTTATACCAAACCCTAGATTCTGGCCAAAAAAAAAAGTTCGTATATCGAATTACTATGTTTTCTTAAGAGCCGCAGCTCTTGTTATACTGAACTACTATTAAAATTTAAAAATTTTGAGTTTGTTATATCCAAAGTTCGTTATAAAAAGGTTCGTTATATCCAGAGTTGACTGTAATCTATTTAGTCATTTTGAATATCTATATAAAAATCTGAATATTTATTCAATATCACCCATAGACAATTAAAATTTGTGAACATTTATTGAATAGCTATGACAAATATTCAAAGAACCTATCTATAATTATGGGAAAGTATGGTCTTTATCATGTGGTACTAGATAAAAATGACAAGAAAAATAAACAGCAAAATTGAATAATTGACATAAGCAGGATGTAAAAAAAAAATATTTGAAAAAATAAATCGGTCAGGTAATGTAAAATGAAAAATCATCTTAATCAACTTTATGTAGCCTTATAAAAATTTTGAACAAGTTATTTTATAGAGATTTGATTTTATAGCTATTGAATTTACAAAGCGCTGAAAGAATGTTAACTTTTCTCTATTAAGACTTATTAAATTTTGTAGGTTTTATTTAGAAGCATTCCAGAAAACAAAAACTAGCATTATTTTTAAATCTTACTTAATAAGAGCTATTACTGATCATCTTTGAGAAATAGTATATAGTTAAATATTAATATGCCAATTTTTTTTGTTTTTTTATTGTATTTATATTTGTTTATACATATTTTTAAGAATCATTCTTGTTATTACAGATAATATGTAATAATCATTATCACTTCGGTTTGATTTTTCTATTGTGAAATTGTTTTTAAGAAACTTTGAGGCATAATTTTTATCAAGTTATCTAAAATTATTACCTTACTTCTAGTAATACAGTCAATCTCCCTAAATGCAACTCATTGGGACCGAACTTTACTGATATGTATTTAGTGAGCAATAAGAAAAATTGTATCTATAGAGGTTAAAAATATATTTGGACTAGAGCTTGGGGTTGCATTTAGAGAGGTATTTATTCAGAGGAGTTGTATTTAGAGAGGTGTTCATTCAGAGGAGTTACATTTAGAGAGGTGTTCATTCAAAGAGTTGCGTTTAGAGATGTCTGACCATATATATGCACACCTAAATTCTGAATGATTTATAGTATCACAGTATGCCAATATTTTTATATTTTTGACATACTTCTCAAAATACCAATATGCCAGACGCTGTAAATATTTTCAGCTCCAAAATTGTTTCGTTGCCAAAAATATAAATTTCTAGTATAAATGATATAAACGGTAGAATTCCTAATTTCTTCTACTAATTCTGATTGAGTATCACTTTATTTATCAATCAAATTACAAGATCTGGTATAATATAAAAATTTGAAATTATTGCTAGTTACTTTATAAGTTCACCTTCGCGTCGAAATAAAAAAAAATTTCTTGTAAGATTTAGTATTATATATATTCTATTAGACTTTTTAATGAGACTCCAACATACATGCTAATAGAAAATAGAATTTCTATGTGTTCAATAGGGGCTGTTAGGAAATTAGTAAGCCTTCAGCCAATTTGATAAGTTTTTGAATTCAGAAATAGATATTACTATTAATAATTATCATAGGTTGTTAACAATAAAAATTTATTTTAATAAAACAGTAATTTGGAAAATTTTGCTTGTCTTTGCATAATATTACGTGTTTATATAATATTGGTTCTATAATGGGCTCTGGACATACTAGCCAAATACTTTATCGTTATATTATCATGCAAACATTTATATAGATTTTTGTTATTTCTTGTATATTAGTAATGGTTGATAGTTTTGACACATATCCCCAATTGGCAAAACTAGTTTGGAACTTAGTATTTCAGCAAGCAGGATTTTGAATTCCAATTCTATACATATTACTATAATATCATTAATTGCACCATAAATAGTTTGGGTCTCATCACTATTGTACACGCAATTTTGTATTTAAACTTAGTCAATCATGACTTGCAAAGTATTATAAATATCGATATGATAATAAATATCGTAATTTGTTTTGATATACATAGTAAATAACTAACAGAACAAATTTTATAATATAGTTAAAATTTCTACTTTCAATTAATTGAAATAAATCGTAATTTTTATCTTGAATTAAAATAAAGTTTTTGTACCCAGATTTTAAATTCATTAGTCTTCTAATTTTTTATATAATATTCATGAATATTTATGACTAATCACATGAATATCTATTCAAAGCCTAGATATTCATTAATAGTATTCATGAATATTCAAAATCTGTGAATATTCACTAAATATTTATAACAGATATTCAAAAGATCTAACCTCTACTAATTAGAATATCTGCCAGTTACTAATATTTGCTAGTACCGTCTATTTTATACGTGTTATTTTTCATCATATAGTTTCCTAATATGGAAGTAGTAAACAAGGCCAATCTTTTGAAGAGGGTATGTCAAATTCTCCACTTTTTGTTAAAAAAAAAGCTAAAAGTTTCGAAGAAAGAAAATTTATGTATTTGCGAGTACCTAGACCAAGAAGAGTATTTTCAGATGATGCTCATTATACTAGCAGCTTCTAGTACTTGTATTAGGAAGTTTTTACCACTACTATTACCAAAATAAATCTTCTGGCTTGGATACCGAATGTGCGAGAGAGTCCACCAAGAAGAAAAGCTCGACCCAAAGCACAAACTAGCATAAATATGCCTGCTTCTTAGTATTTTATATATATAGCCTTCATCAACAATAGTACCTAATAGGATCCACAAGTATTTTAAGTCTTCTAGTCTTCAGAACTTCTAACTACTTTCGGTATGGTTTTGGTACAAGTGATCGTTAAGAAGAATTGAGTTGATAAAACCTTAAATTTAATTATTATATTTTTAATTACTATTATATTTAAAGTTAGTTACTCAAATATTCAAATTTGATTACTCAAATATTCAAAATTAATATGCAAAATCTATATTTTAAAATCAAGATCAAATATTAAATACTTTAAATAAAATATTTTTAGTTCTACTAATTTTTTGTTTTTTTTTTTACTTTGACTATCTTGTCAGAGTTCTTTTATTAATGATCTTAGATACTAGATAAAGCAAATAATAGCTGCTAATATTTGAATCTAATATTTTATAATTACTTTAACATGTTAACTACATGAAAGCACTTACAAGCAACTGGTTATATTAAGCAGACATATTTATATGAATATATCATGATAAGTTTTATACTATAAACTATATCTATCTCAAAAGGCATTATCAGACCACCGCTCTACAATAGAATATCACCAATCTGATGATATCTTCTTGTAGAAAAGTAGAAAGAAAAAAATATTAACACTAATACTAATACTAAAAGGAAATAAAAAAAAAATGAAAACTAATACTAAAAACAAAAACAAAGATGAAATATAGAAAGAAAAAAAATAAAGGAGAATTGACAAGTCATAATTATAAGCCTGTATTAAGCTTTAAAAAATTATATCTTACAAAATAAAGAAGCTCTATATCTATCTTTATCTTAAAGAAATATATAACTAAAAAAACACAAATAATACGTAAAAAAAACAAAGCTAAACTAGTAACTAAACTAGACAGAGTAGCTAATATCATACTAGTAGCCTTGAAGTATTGTTAATAAATTAATAGTATTTGAGTCATATCATCCTTATATATTGTTTCAGACTTGTTCTTATTTGTCCTCTAAGTTGCAACAGTCAATATGCTTCTTTAGACAAATCTGGCTGCATGAATACCAAATATTATTTAAAAAGTAAATACTTCTAATAGTATCTTTCATTTGAATAATTAATAATACTAGCTGTTTTGAAAAATTATATATTGATCTTTTAGAGAGAGTAAACTAAGATATCTATTTTTTTGATAAAATTTACTCAAAAAAAAAGATAAAACAACAAGATTTTTTTGTAGTTGTTTCTTGTAAGTTTTATAGTTGTATATAGATAACTCAAAGTTTAGAATACTCTTGATATCAATTTAGTTATTCTGTATTATCAAAATATTCTTCTGGTTTGGATACTAAATATAATAGAAGAGTCTACCAACCAAAGCTTGACCTCTACAAAAACCAGTCTAAAGTAGACCATGCCTTGGTTTTATATTCTCAGTACTTTGTTGACAATATATCTACTTCTGTAGAACCAAGTTTATTATTTACTTTAGTGTCTTTTATAGTGCTAACCAT